TTTTAAGATGGGAGCTATCATTTTGTGCCTGCATGATGGAAGAAAGGAGTCTTTGAAAGCAATGGTTCGTAAGCTGGGCATGGTGGCTCACAGCTTCAGTCTCAGCAGAAAGGGGACAGAGGCAGGCAAGACCTCTGTGAGTGTGAGGCCAGCCTGCTGTACCCAGTGAGTCCCAGGCTTGAAAAAAATGATTAAGACTCAGGTTGGAGGATGAGCCTGAGATGTCCAAGTTTCTGGCAAGTTCTGTGGTTCTAAGGACCAGGATACAGGCAGAAAGCAAAGAGAATTTACAAGATGTTATAAATAACCCTCATAAAATACAAGCAAGAATCAGAGGAGAGAGGCAGATGAGAGGGATAGGAAGGAGGGGAGCTGGCACGTTTTCTCTACAAAAAGGACACAGAGGTATAAATTCAGGAGCCTGAAACCACTACACCTTGAACTTCAGAAGCTAAACCCACCCACACCGTGTTACCCATCAGTTCTCCCCCTAGATACACACTCAATAGAAACATATTTATATCCATGAGAAGACATACTAGAATGCTCACAGCCACTCTGGTCTAGCAGCCAAACACTTGAAACACATCTACTGTCTTGTCCATCACCAGAGTGCATCTATAAATCATAGCCCATCACGCAACAGACTTGTGACCTGCAGTGAGAACAAATAAATGTTTGTTGCACAGAACCACATGGATGAACCACAGAGATATGATTACAAGCTCAGGCTAATGTTGTCACAATTGTGTCTAGATTCTTGATACAATCTAGAATCACCTGGGAGGATGGGTCTCAGAGCATGTGTGTGGGAGCCCAACTAGATCCCACTATCTATGTGGGAAGACCCATCTTTATTGTGGGTGAGTCCTGGGCTGTATAAGTGGACAACCAGAGCTGTGCACTGGCAGGCATGCATTAACCCTTTGCTCACCTCAAGTCTCTGCTGCCTTGATCTCCCTTCTGTGATGGACTATGGCCCTGAACTATGAGCCAGAATAAATCCTTTTGTCCCTTAAGTGCCTCTTGTCTGTGTATTTTATTACAGAAACAAGAAAAGAAACTAGTATGGAAGTTGTTACAACGAACTGGGGATGTCACTGTGAGAAACCTGACTGTGTGGTTCTTTAGCCTCGGCAACTGTTTTGTGGCGGGACTATGGAAGAGCCTGACACTTTTGGTTAGAAAAGCCAATGGATGCTGGTGGTAGAGCTTATGGGGGGCACTCTGGTGGGGGCTTGGAAGGCACCGATGCTGAGAGGGAAGGTGGGAAATGGAGGCCCGATTTCTGAGGTTCCAGAGGTGGAAAGGGACTCTACTGGAGCTGGTTGGGATAGGGGCCATTGGTGTAATATTTTCACCCAGAATTGGCTTCTTTTTAATCTTTGCCCAGGAAACTAAGTAAAGTCCAATTTAAAGATAATGGATTAATTATTTTGGTAGGGGAAAGGTGTTGAGTAAGGTTTTGTCAAGGGAACACAATTAACAGGACAGCTCTATCTGTTAAGATTAGTGCATTAATGAGAAGCCCCCATAGTACACTAAAACAAGGGAAAGGTGTCCAGAGGGAAAAAAAAAACTCTTGGGAGGGCATATTATAAAGACCAAGTTCACTTAAAGAAAAAAAGCCTCAGCAAACAGAGCCCTGCTCACTTAAAGTTCTGTGTAGGGCAGGATCAGCACACACAGTTGATGTAGCTGTGGTCCCAGGGGTCCCAAATCCACCCTGTGCTAGCTGCAGAGCTTGCTGGAGTCATCTGTGTGGTGCTGGTTTTGAAGCTATGAGAGTTGCAAGGTTGAGAGAGTCATGGAGAGGAGCTGAAACCATCCAATATGTGGCAGGGCCGGAGTCCCTGAAAAAAGGCCCTTGGAGGCCACTGTGTGAATTGTGAAGATGAATCCTCAGTAAAGAATCCAGTATTTTGCCAATGCCAGGGCCATAGGACTTGCACCAAGGAGAGTTTGGGGCATGGAATGGAGCTGGTTTTGGAAAGAATGTCTGTGCTGAGTGTGCCAGAACTTGAAGTCTCAGGCTATGCAAACCATTCCAAGCCCTGTTGATGACATGACAGTCAGGACCAAATCAGGGTCGGGCAAGATGGCTCAACAGGCAAAAGCAAACCTAATGATTTGAGTTCAATCTCCAGAACCCACATAGTAGAAAGAGAAAATCAACCTCACAAAGCTGTCTTCTGACCTCCTCATCCACGCCATGGCACACGCACACACCCCACACACAAATGGCATACATGCACAGTAATAGTAAAATAAAGGTTTGAAAAGAACTCAGACCAGACACTGCTCTATGTCTCTCCTCCCTCATAGCTGATTCTGTGTACAAGCCCCAGGCTACCTGTCTCCGAGTTATTAGGGACTACTGGTGGCGCACCTCCTCCCCTCTGTGCTGTATATAACACCAATTACTCTTCTAATACCCCCCCAAAAAAAAAACCAATTTGATTCAGTGTCCCTTTGAAGCCTAAGCTTTACAATTATGAGCCCCAGATGCCAGAATTAGGCATTAGGAGTTTACCTTGATAGATTTTGGTTATGTTTTAGAATGTTGGTTTTATGCCCTGGCTCTTCCCTTTTGAAATAGGAATGTTTTACTCTGTACCATTATATGCTGGAAATAAACTGTTTTGTATTTTATAGGAACTGGCAATTAAGAGACTTTGGACCTTACAGTGTCAGAACTCTTAGTGACTGTGGGGACTTTAAAGTTGGATTACATACATTTCATATTATAGGATGGTTACAAGCTCATTGAGACAAGAGGTAGAAAGTTATAGCTTAAACATGATGTTTTGAGCCCAGCATGGTGGCTCACACTTTTAACCCCAGCATTTGGAGGCAGAGGCAGAGGCAGGTGGATTTCTGATCCAGGCCAGCCTGGTCTACAGAGCAAGTTCCAGGACAGCTAAAACTACACAGAAAAACCCTGTCTTGAAAAACCAGGGAAAAAAAATGTTTCGGTGTCAAGTTAACTAGGGGTAGAGTTCTAAGAGTGTTAACTGTCACTTTGATGAAGTCTGCAGTCACCCGGACTGCTGAGTGTGCATGTGGGGACTATCTTTTTACATCAATTGCTGTTGGAAGACCCCACTTTTTCCCTTAAATTGCTTTTATCAATGCATTTTATCACAGCAACAGGAAGAGAAACCGGGACAGTGTGTTTACATTAAATACAGAAATGAGCAAATCTGGGGCTGCAATGAAGCTCTATGGTTAGGAGCACTGGCTGTTCTCAAAGAGGCTCAGGTCCTAGCACCCACATGTAGCTCACAGCTGTCTGTGGGCACACAGTACACAGACATACATGCAGGCAAAAGACCCATATAGATAAAATAAAATGAAATCTTTTTAATGGATTTTAAAAAAAAACAAATGAGCAAAATTAAGACAAAGATGTCAAGCGTCTTGAGAGTGGAAGCCATTTGGTCCGATTAGGATCTAAAATATTCCCCAAAAGTTCAAGATACCCCCCTCTCCCTCCCTCTCACTCTTCTGCAGATACTTCCTGCCATAATCCTTCACCATGGGCCCCAAAGCAATAGTCCCCAGGGCCCTGACTGGGACCCACAATAAACCTTTCCTGCTTATGAGCCAACCATCTCGGGCGTTTAGTCATAGTAGTGGAAAGCTGACCAACACATCCTTGGTAATGTCAATAACTGGGAGAGACACAGAGAATACTTTTGTTTCTTGATGTTACACAATGAGGTCTAACAATTTTAAAGCATAGTACTCGAGTTCTGTGTATTGTAGTGCAATCTGTGGTGGTTTTGAAGTAGAATAAGGCAGGAAATGTCAATTATTAGTTATGGACTTATCTCATGATTTACTTAAAGCACTGCTTGTACAGTCTATTTGCCAAGCATGATTTCACTTGCTACCTAAAACAGAATGACCTGGAGGAATAGCTGAAACAATGGGCCATTGCCCTGAACAACCTGCACACAAACACACACACACACACACACACACACACACACACACACACACACACGTGTCCGTAAAATCTTGCTTGCTTGCCAGCACCACCTTTTGGTTTGAGTATAAAATGAGAATACAAGCTGGACCTGGCATGGAAGCCTTTGAGGAACTGTCCTGGCTTCCATCTACCAGTGACAATCTCTATTCCACTCACTCACTGCTGTCAGGGTGCTTATTCCAGAAAGATACCCGCAACAGTTTGGATGAGAACGTCCCCAATAGGCTCAGGCGCTTGAGCACTCGGTCCCCAGGTGGTGTCGCTGTTTGGGGAGATTTCGGATGTTGGACCTTGTTGGAGGATGTGTGTCTCTGGAGGCAGCTTTGAGAGACTCCAGTTTCCTCTCCACTTCCTGCTTCTGGCTGAGGATGTAAGCCTTCAGCTTCCTGCTCCTGCACCACACCTGCCTGCTGCCAGCCATGCCCACCGAGATGGTGATGGACTCATCCCTCTGGAACAGTAAGTCAGCACGAACCCTTTGTCGTGGTGTTTTATCAGAGCAAGAGAAAAATAACTAATCACAACTACATTCCAGTAAATAAGTTTATTTTCTTAGTGAAACCTTATCCTGTCCCCATGATGTAGCCGGATGTAATGGGACACAATAAATAATATGTATACCTGACACTCATTGCTCACACTTGCCATTTGTACCCACGCACACCAGTATTGTGTGCACAACTCTGACGTCCGGCCTCACTACAGGGGTAAACTAAAGTCACACTTCTTATTTATTTAGTAAATGCATTTTTCTCCAGACAGGGTTTCTCTGTGTAGCCCTGGCTGTCCTGGAACTCACTCTATAGGCCAGGGTGGCCTTGAACTCATGGAGATCCACTTGCCCCAGCCTCCCGAGTGCTGGGATTAAAGGTGTGTGACACCATTGCCCAGCCGTAAATGCATTTCTTGAAGCATAATTAAACTTTCTCTTCTCAGAGTCTGGCAGAATAAATGAAATAACTAAACATCCACTATGAAATAAGTAAACCTCTACTAGATGAACCAATAGGAACCAACAGTGCCTCTTTTTATTGGTAATGAAAAGTCAATGGAAATGTAGGAAGAGGCACAATTACAATAATATTCATTTGTTCAGTATTAATTAAAGGGGGTCCCAGGATGACTTGCTTGGTTCTTTTTTTTTTTTTTTTTTTTAATTCAAAATGGCTCAGAGAATCCAAACACATCCTCTCAATGCAGTAAGCGCTGTTTGAATATGGCCAGAAGGTGGCGCCAGAGGGCACGGCTTGTCCTTCCAGGGAGCAGGCCTGTTCACTTCTGCCCCTCCGGGCCTGCCTTGAGAGAAGGGCAGTCTGCCCTTCCCTAACAACTGCTGGTGTGAGCAGAGTGGGATGGAGGAAGCACCAGTGTAGAAAATGGTACGCGAAGTTTGCCAGTGGGAAGCAGCAAAAGACACGAAAGCAAGAGGAGGACAGGTGACTGGAAAATCGAGATAAAGGATCCGGCGTTAGAGGGTGGGGTACACAGGTGGAGGTCACGGCAGCAGAGGCAGGGGCCAACCACTCCTCTCATTTTGTCACGAGGGAATTTCCACAGCAGGCTGGAGAGCTTGCAGTCTAGGTGAGGAAGTGACTTTTAGTCAGCTTTTATTGGTCTGTGAGGCAGAAGGGCCTATTGCCTGAGACAGCAAAGAGAACGGAGTTGTGGTAAGGAGGGGAGTCTCAGAAAGCTGGCGAGGGAGGCCCCAAGAGGACTGTCACCAGCACTGGGGGTGGGTCTCCAGGTTGACATCATCATTGCATGGTGTCCTCATCCCCTCATTCTCCAAATGTTTGTGTAAACCTGCTGTTACACCGGGCACTATTTTAGACGCACTGGATACGCAACGGTGAAGATGGAACTTACCTGGTGGTGGGAAGATGGACAGGCAACTGCATAGATAAACAAACACCAGATAGCAAAACGGGGGAAGAAAAGGAGGGAACAGAGTAGGGTAACCATGGAAAAGGGATGCTCCGGGTAGTGTCCCCCAAAGTGTCTGAGTAGAAATCTGAGACCAGCGAGGTGGGCTGGGAGTTCTGGGCAAACAGAGCAGCCAGGACTAAGGGAAGGAGATGGTGGTAGGCGGATCTTGGGACAGCTCATAGGTGTCTGCAAGCAGCACCTTGGTTCTCCAGTGTGAGGGCCGCCACTGGAAACCAGGGAGGCTGGACTGGCCACGGTGGCTATGTGGCCAACGGGCTAAGAGAGGAGGTTACAGAGGAACACCATCTAGCAGGCCACTGCAGCCATTCAAGGCAGAAATGCAGGAACAGTGGAGAGTTTGAAAGGATTAGATTCAAAATGTGTAAGGAGAGTTGATGAAACTTGCCTATGGCAATTCAGAAGATGGGGAGTGGACAATGACTTGGGTGTTCTCCTGAAGCCAAGGGATAGCAGTGCCACTTATTCAAACGAAGAAGAGGGCAGTTGGAACACACTGTGAAGGAATGGGGAGGGGGCGATTCTTCTTTGGCCCAGCTATATCCATGGAGAGATGGTGTAGGCAACACCGTATGTCTTGTGCAGTTTGCTTTCTCTGCTTTATTCTGATCAAGTGGGCACAGCCCTTCTCCTCCAGAAGAGCGCTGGGATGGCTTGGCCCATGACTGAATTATGCTGACTGGTTTTAGGAGAAGAGACCAAGTGAAGCAATGGGCAAAGGTAAAAATCTCAACCCCAGAGCCATTTACAAGTAGCCAGGACACACACAGAGAAACCCAGCTCAAACTCATAAGCAAAGGACAGCTACCTGCCCACACAGCTAGATAGGACACTGAAGTCACTCACAAATGAGAAGACAATGTGGTGACATGGTCTTGAGCTGGGGTGTATAGATGGCTGTGTGATTCCATGTGGTCCCACATACTGGGATAGGGGTAGTAGTAGATGCAAGACAAAAAAGTAGAGGGTGAGATGAAGAGTGAACCCTGAATCCAACACACCCAAGTTACATGTGCAATGAATCTGTAAGATAAAATGCCCAACACTTCTCACTCCTTGAGAGCCGGTTTGGGGTGTTCTTCATTATCAGAACAACAACCGCTAGAATAAAGGGACATGATAATGGATTTATCCACCTACAGCCATTTCAGTTGTATGGAACAGGGCAGTGACTGACCCCTTTGTCTAGTAACAATATATAGCATGAGATTAGATGTCATGGCCACCTTAGCGGGACACTTCCTGCCTGTTCCCCTATACATATGGGAAATCGGCTCAATGAACAGGCTGACCCAGAGAAATTCCAGCTTCCTGCCACTCTGTCATTAAGCTGAAAAACTGTTAACTTGACAGGTTAATCAGACTGAGACACAACGAAACCTTTAAGAGACAGGGCCTTATGGGAGGGGCCCAGATCATTGTAGGCATTCCCTTCAAGGGCCTATTAGGACCCTAACCCCTTCCTTTGTTTGCCAGCCACCATGAGACAGACAGTCCTCTACCACATGCTCTTACCATGACATACTAGCCCAAAACAACAGAACCAACCCACCCACAGGCTGAAACTACAAGCCAAGATGGCTCCTACCTCAATCAGTTTGTCTCAACACAGAGAGGTATTTCACGCCTACCCTATGCTCTGGTCAGCCACCATCAAGTGAAAAATGGCAGTCATTCATATGTGACATAGCAACAATGGCAGAGACAATGACTGCCAAGTACCCCAGTCCCCTGTGGAATGTCTGAGACTCCCACAAAGTGACAGCTGAAGACCTTAACCCTGGAGTCCCCAATGCCTATGGCACAATACTCCATGCAACTAAGAGCATGGACTCCCGATGTAACACAGACTGCAGGAAAGAACTTCCAGGCAATGGAAATGGCATGGCAGCAGCCCTGGTGTGAATGCTGACAGAAGTGTCACACGCTGGACAGAGCCCAGATGCCACTTCTGCTTTCAGAAACTTGGTCAGCATGTGGGACGCAGCCCACGCTCCTGTTAGAGGTAGTGTCTCTTTCTGAGGTCTTTTCTCTTCCTTGTCCATCAGCCTTGAATTTGCTTTGAGGACTGTCCTGCATACAATTTACAGGAGGCAGCTATTTGATGGAAGGCGACGTCCTGAAGGGCTGACAGTTTTGGCAGACTCTCAAAGCCACCCCTCCTGCACCTCCTGTCCCTGTCTGCATCTTCCAAGAGCCCCTTGGCTTCCTCCTTTGGCTGTCCCCTCCCTTAGTGAGACAGCATGTCCCTAAGCTGTGTGGCCTGGGGTAGCTCCACAGAAGTCCTTCTGTGAACTTTGGTTTCCTCTGCTCTGAAAACCCCACTTCCCTGCAAATACAAAGGAAGAGGAGTCACCGACAATAGACCTAATACAATAATAACCTATTACACGAACTCAAGGTCAGTACTTATCCCCAGGCCAGTGGGCTGTTCCATCTTTTGAGAAATGTCCCCTACAGACTCAAGCATTTAGTCCCCAGCTGGTGGGCTATTTGGGGAAGCTTGGTAGGTATGGCCTTGCTGGGGAAGTCTGTCACTGGGTTCCAACTCTGAGGCTTCTTTTGATCATTTTATGCGTAAGGGTGTTTTGTCTGCACATATGTCTATATCCCATGGGCATGCAGGGCTTGCAGAGGCTGGAAGAGGGTGCTGGATCCCCAGAACTACAGTTGTTATATGCTTGTGAGCCATATATAGGCACTGGAAATTGAACTGGAGTCCTCTGGGAGAGCAACCAGTGCTCTTAACCGCTTGACCATCTATCTCTCTAGCCACCCCAAACCTGGGATTTGACTTTCAAAGCTATTCACCATTTCCAGCTCACTTTGCTAAGTTTCTGCTCCAGCTGCCATGTCTGCAGCCTGGTGCCTCCACTCCACCATCAACCACTCTTTTCCCTCTAGAACTGTAAGCCAGTTAAACTCTTCCTTCTACAATCTGCTTTGATCACAATGTTTTAGCACAGTGATGGAAAAGTAACTAACAGGGGATGTGAGTCCTTCCTCCCTTTATCTGCTGTCAAGATGTTGTCAGTCCTCTCTGCTGCATGAAAGAAATGAGCTGGGACAACATGACCGTATTTGGGGTTGGAAGGGCAAGACAGACACCCTCGAATACAGCTTGCTTTCAACTGAGGCACACGTAAAGTACAGAAATCTTCAGTGAACAACATGATGCTTTTTTTACCCAAGTATAAATGCATCAGCTCCCGGTCACTGCCCCCCTCTCTCACTGCTGATACTGTGGATTCATTTTACAGGTTCTTGAACTTGTAATAAAACCAAAGCACCCAAGGCAGAGCCTGTGCCCCTTCTTTCACTCAGTGTTGTGGAGACTAATCCACTGTGTTGCAAATAGCCAATTGTTTTACTCTACCACTGTGTGACGCTCTACTATGGTCACATTACATGCACTAGTTAGTTCATTCTTCTGTTGGGACACACCTAGGCTACTTCCAGCTTCCAGCAACTATGAATCCATCACTTCAGTGGGCATCTGCACTTTTATTTCTCTTGGGTAGAAACCAGGAGTGAAATGCTGGCAAGCACGTGGCCAGCCTTGGCAGAATCTGCCACAAAGACTTGGAGTATGGCTGTGCCTATGTCCACTATCTACAGCAATGGCTTCAGATTATTTTGGTGTAGCAGCACATACATACATATAGGCAGAATATCCACACACACAAATGTTGAAAAGACAAAAATGGTGGGTGTGCCTAGAATTTATGATTGATACCCTGCCAACATGTGATTGGAGCTAGTGCTGGATCTCTCGCTCTCTCTCTCTCTCTCTCTCTCTCTCTCTCTCTCTCTCCCTCTC